CTTGGGCCCGCCTCTCAACTGTGAATCAACTGTTACTAACTATCCGGTCGACCGGGGAGCCGGTCGGCCGAGCGGACAGCACACTGCACTTGTGATCCTGTGGTCCTGGGTTCGATCCCGGGCGCCGGCGAGAAACAATGGGCAGAGTTTCTTTCACCCTATGCCCCTGTTACCTAGCAGTAAAATAGGTACCTGGGTGTTAGTCAGCTGTCACGGGCTGCTTCCTGGGGGTGGAGGCCTGGTCGAGGACCGGGCCGCGGGGACACTAAAGCCCCGAAATCATCTCAAGATAACTACTAACTAATTTTCTTCTCACACACACACACATACACAGGAAGCAACCCGTAATAGCTGTCTAACTCCCAGGTACCTATTTACTGTTAGGTAACAGGGGCATCAGTGTGAAAGAAACTCTGCCCGTTTTTTTTTTCTCGCCGGCGCCGGGAATCGAACCCAGGCCACAGGATTACGTGACAGCGTGCTGTCCAAACAGCCACCGGCGCCTGCGACACCTGTGGGTAACGGTGAGTACACAGTAGCAAGTCAACAAGTTAATGGAGTCTACCATGAAAGCAAAGGGAGAGAGAGAGAGAGAGTGAGAGTGAGAGAGAGAGAGAGAGAGAGAGAGAGAGAGAGAGTGAGAGAGAGAGAGAGAGTGAGAGAGAGAGAGAGAGAGAGAAAGAGTGCTACATCCCCCCCCCCCCCCCCCCCCCCCCCAACCACGACACACAAGAGGACATGGCCACATTGCAGGACTTTCCTCTCAGTTTAATCTGCATAAGAAATCAGTTTTTTCCAAGCCTGCTCTCGAGGCCTTCTCCTCCACGTCCCCAGAGAGCATAAAAGAGCCCAGTTGCCAATTAAACAAAGACTCCCAGAGTGCTAACAAGGAACAAATTGGTGGTAGTTGAGGGCTCAACCAGGGGCCCCTAACTACCACTACGTAAACACGCACCCCAAGCCCTCCGCCCTCCACCAATAAGGGTGCTAATTGTAGCTCTCTAACACCGCCATCAACTGACCCGAATGAATATGCGGGATAAGGGCGGAAGTCGTGGCTATAAAGGGCTGCGTTTACGACCATTTGTGGCGGAATCAAGAGCATCGTAAAGAGCGGTGATTCGTTTATGGCGCGGAGCTCATTATGTCCTCCAGTTGGGCCATTTAGGGCGGGGGGGGCGGGGGGAGGTGGAGGCGGGGAGGGGGCAGGGAAGGTGGAGGGGGGGATGCAGGGAAGGTGGAGGCGGGGGGGGCAGGGAAGGTGGAGGGAGGCGGGGGGGGGGGGCAGGGAAGGTGGAGGGGGGGATGCAGGGAAGGTGGAGGGGGGGGGCAGGGAAGGTGGAGGCGGGGGGGGGGGCAGGGAAGGTGGAGGCGGGGGGGGGGAGGGAAGGTGGAGGCGGGGGGAGGGAAGGTCAAGAGGGGGGGGAGGGCAGGGAAGGTGGAGGGGGGAGGCAGGGAAGGTGGAGGGGGGGCAGGGAAGGTGGAGGCGGGGGAGGGGGGGCAGGGAAGGTCAAGGGGGGGGAGTGCAGGGATGGTGGAGGGGGGGGCAGGGAAGGTGGAGACGGGTGGCAGGGTAGAAGGAGGAAGATGGCAGTAGAAGGACCAGATAAAGAGGGAAACAGGCGCAGTGAGATAACAGGTGCCAAAACAAACACATTTCTGCGCATCTGTATGACAGGTGGCGGTCATAATAGCAACAGTGTAAGACAGGCAGTTTACCGCAGGTGTCACGCGGTGACAGGCATGTCAATGCACTTTGCGCGACAGTCAACAACAACAAAAAACTTGTTGTCTTTGCAAAATTTGCTTTAACACGCAGAGTGCAACTGTGAGGTGCATGTTATTTATTCACTCTTGTTAATGGGACCACATTTTGCCGGGGAGCTTCCATGGTCTTTACTGTGTGTTGATAGATTCTGGCAGACCCCACCTTACTACCAGACCCCACTATCAGACCCCACCTTACCAACAGACCCCACTATCAGACCCACCTTACTACCAGACCCCACTATCAGACCCCACCTTACTACCAGACCCCATTATCAGACCCCACCTTACCAACAGACCCCACTATCAGACCCCACTATCAGACCCCACCTTACCACCAGACCCCACTATCAGACCCCACCTTACTACCAGACCCCACTATCAGACCCCACCTTACTACCAGACCCCACTATCAGACCCCACCTTACTACCAGACCCCACTATCAGACCCCACCTTACTACCAGACCCCACCTTACTACCAGACCCCACTATCAGACCCCACCTTACCAACAGACCCCACTATCAGACCCCACTATCAGACCCCACTATCAGACCCCACCTTACCACCAGACCCCACTATCAGACCCCACCTTACTACCAGACCCCACTATCAGATCCCACCTTACCACCAGACTCCAGTATCAGACCCACCTTACCACCAGCCAGACCCCACCAGACCCCACCAGACCTCACTATCAGACCCCACTATAGACCCCACCAGACCCCCACTGTATCAAGCTCGCCTCACTGCTCACTATCAGACCCCACTGCACTCCTTTTCACAATTATTTTATAGATCATGAGACATGCCTTTGAAGTTTGGAAACATTTCACTTGCAGTGATCAGCCGGTTTGCAGGTTGCAACACTTCCAATAAACATGGGAATATTTTTAATCAAGCTCCAGGTTTAACGCGTGCAGGAGGACGCCTCTTTGAGCAACAGGGCTGTGATGACCCTCTGGATGACGTAGGTTGGAGCCACGTCCCTCCATGACCACCCTTGTTAAGTGCGTGTGTAAATGGTCTTAGCTGTTTATAGCACACATACTCTTTGTACGTAGCCATAAACATGTATCCATATCCACAAAATGGAATGTGTATCAAAGGTTGGAGGTTAGACGCTATAGGAACTATAACCTCATCCAAATTTGCACAATGATTACTGTGGGGTACATGTCCATCATGGTCAGATCAGGGTTGGCACAATTCACGAGAGAACACATTTTCATTGTCACATATTAAACCCCGTGATGCTTTAGGCACCGGCCACCAGCCTCTGGTCTAGTTAAATACTTTGAAAACAGATCCAAATTTTTTTTTGTTTACATTATTGTAAAATGTTATATGCACTGATGTCAGGAACATAAACAAATATTTTATAATTATACTAAAGCAGCACCTCACTATTGGCTCATGTGGGGTGCACATGCCGACTGCTAATCTGATATCAAGGTTTTTATTTCCAATAGATTTTCAGCAGTTTTTCAATTTGTCATAATATTGCTTGTTCAGAAAGTGTGTGTGTGTGTGTGTGTGTGTGTGTGTGTATGTGTGCGTGTGCGTGCGTGCGTGCGTGCGTGTGTGTGTGTGTGTGTGAGCGCGCGCGCGTGTGTGTGCATATATGTGTATGTATCCGCCATAGTTCATCTCCTAGTCTGGCGGAGCTCCGCGCCAATCAGTGATGTATATTGGCACTGTATTTGAAGTTCAGATTCAATTAAATGCATCAGACCGCGCACTATTTTAGTCAATGTTTGTCAGTCCGCCCAATGTTTGTCTCTTCTGTAAATGTAAAGCTTTTCTCACATTATTACTGTAAGCGCTTCGCTTCACGGGCCCGCCAAGGGTCAATAAGGCATTTTGCATGTTCTACATTATAATGCTCCGAACATAAGGACATAAGAATGAATGAAAAAATGAAGAATGCCTTCGACCTTACGAACCGACACCAATTTAAACCAAAGCATTAATTTATTATAATTTATTATAATATTCATTAATATAAATAAACAAATGCGTCTCGAGTGTAGTGTAAGTTCATTAATATATGTCTCATTTCTGCTTGAAATGATCCAGCGATCCCACAACTATTATCTTACCCTATAATTGTTATAATTCATTGTGTCCGGGGGACAGGAAGCCAGAGTGTATGGCTTACGCTCTGTAAGTGTATAGTGAGGACACGTTAGGCCAATATCAAGGTCTCCCCTCCTCAAGTGGAATTATTGACCCCGGCCAGGATTCAACCCCTACAAAAAGCTGACTAACTCTTGAGTACCTACTCACTGCTAGGTGAACAGGAGCATTAGGTCAAAGGAAATGTGCCCAATCATTTCTGTCCCTCCGGGGATTCGAACTCGGAATTCTCGATTGTGTGTTGAGAAGGAACCCGACTGAACAACCGGGACCCATAACATATTTCAGGAAAATTCTTTCTAAACCGGTATTTACCCAGGTTTTCCTAAACTTTTAGTTATCCAAACTTTTTATCCATTGTTCTGTGTTATATTTTGTGTTGATATGTATTACATTATATTAATATCCACTTAATATCTTAATAATATTACCTTTCGTCCATCTTTATTCGACTGTTATGTCACCTATTAATTCTCTCGTTACCCATTACCTCCTCACTCTCCTTCTCTTGCCTCTCTTCCTCCCCCTCCTTCTCTTTGTCTCTCCTTCTCTCTGTTTCTCCTTCTCTCTCCCTCCCCCTCCCCCTCCTTCTCTCCTTTTCTCTCCCTCCCTTTCCTCTCTGCCTCTCTCCCTGCCCTTCCTTCTCTCTGCCTCCCTCTCCTTCACTCTGGTGTCGACTGGTTGGTCTCCAGATAAGCTCACTCTCTTCGTCTATATCAAAGAGTTTCGTCATGAAAGTGTAAATAAACTGGACCATTTGGAACATGTCCGCTCAACACGTTGTTGTCTTAACTTGGACATATTGACTGTTAAAGTGCAGATGGCGTGTTTGAGCGTCATCGGAAGTGTTCATGTGAATCAGTGTGTCACAGTGAATCACAATCCCTCTCAAAAGTCAAGCCTGGCCCCGGGCCGGGCTTGGGGGAGTAGAGGAACTCTCAGAACCCTATCAAGCAGGTATTATGTTTTGAGTGGTAAACTGTGGCAAGTACGTGCGAGTAGATACCGATGATACTTGAAGCAGAGTTTTCAAAACAATCAGTTACAAGCTTAATGTAAAATATGCCAACAGCGGTATATTGTGATTTTTTTACAATGGACGCGGGAGAGAATTTTGTAAAAAATGATGGCTGTCAAGGTAACCTCAAGGTAGGTAGTAACGAAGTGATTGTAACCTATCCACCGCTGCCCCATGGATGGGGGGGGGGGGCGGGGGGTGCAGGACAAACATATCAATTGTGACATTAGCTCTCCACATATGTCAGTTGCTTAATTTTTAGAAACTGTACTTGGGGTCGATCTCGAACTCATTGATGATGTGAGGACTTATACTGAATTTTGTAACTAGCTCATCAAGATTGTAACTTGCTTAGCTAAAGGATTTTTTATTATTATTATTATTATTTTCTACCACAGACGTGGCCACACGTTTACAATGCTAACCAGCATATATACATTTTCTTCTGTCCTCCATGGACAGGGTGAGAGATCTGTTAAACATATAGTTCAGGGATTTATTGAACAATTAATCACAGGTCATTGTAGTGCTTTTAAAATGCCAAGCTAACCTTCAAACATAAATACAGAGATTTACGTCTGTGCTACATAAACAGTGTTCGAGGTGTCTTTGTACAGTGTCATTAAAGGGCGTTTATAAAGGAGAAATCCATTCTGACCAGCTTCCACATACCTTGTATACAAATACACAAACACACACACACACACACACACACACACACACACACACACACACACACACACACACACACACACACACACACATATATATATATATAGGGGCCTGGTTGATAGCGCGCAGGACTGGTAATTTTGTGGCGCGGGTTCGATTCCCGCACCAGGCAGAAACAAATGGGCAAAGTTTCTTTCACCCTGAATGCCCCTGTTACCTAGCAGTAAATAGGTACCTTGGAGTTAGTCAGCTGTCACGGGCTGCTTCCTGGGGTGTGTTTGTGTGTGGTGTGGAAAAAAAAAGTTAGTAAACAGGTAAACAGTTGATTGACAGTTGAGAGGCGGGCTGAAAGAGCAAAGCTCAACCCCCGCAAGCACAACTAGGTGAATATATATATATATATATATATATATATATATATATATATATATATATATATATATATATATATATATATATATATATATATATACCTACATATATATTTGTATATATATATATATATATATATATATATATTTATATATATATATATATATGTAGAGCAAGAGCTATGGACCAAAGAGACAGAGCTCAACCCCGCAAGCACAATTAGGTAAGCACATACACCTATGTCTCCTACTCTGACAGGGGTAAGATAGCTTCTATAGAAACTAGTGTGAGATTAAACACTTAACCACTGAAGTTGATTAAGATGCTTTTACAAGCTCAGGTTATAGGTACATGCATTATGTAACAGATGTATTACATATTGTATATGTACAATACTTTGTGTAACAGATGTATTACATATTGTATATGTACAATAATTTGTGTAACAGATGTATTACATAGTCAATCTTGGGTACAAGGCCAATTTATCATCAAGTGTTCCAGTATTCACATAATAGTTACAGAGTTCAGCATACCTCAGCCCAGGAGGACGAAAGTCAGTTAATATGGGACATTCTACAATATAGTGTTCAAGGAAGTGCATGTTTTCTCCTTCACAAAGTTGACACGTATTCCATATTTGGGTCTTGAGAAAGCTAAATGAATTGTGGGGTTCAGTCCCTGAGCCCATTATGTGCCTCTGTAACCCTTTCCACTACCGCCCACAAGATGGGTATGGGGTGCATATTAAATAAACTAAGCTAAAACTAGTGTGGGCACAAGCTCTCTGGAAGGCTGGGCAGCCGTGCCTTCCAGACAAGGTTTGGTTACCATGTACGGGGTCACCCCGAGGCCTGACAGAGATGGGTGTAGCGGAGGAGTGGACTCATACTGTAGCAGGAACACGGCACCGGGACCAGGAGCTGGAGCCTTCAGCACAGATTTTGAACAAAATTAAATTAAAACTTAGCCTGAGGCCACAAAATTCTGTGTATTGGGCAAATTTATGAAGCTGAGGGAAGCATTAAAACACTCTTATACAATCATGTTTAATTGACCTCAGCATCAATATATTAAAACAAATTAGACACCATTTTAAGATAATGTTTAAAGGACTAATCGGGCCATTTACAATTAGCACATACAACACTGGCGGTCCCTTGCGGTGTTTAACTGGCCATGTACAACTCAAGACATCGCCGGACACATAATAATACATTTATTACAGAGGCAAGCTGATTTACTAAACACTAGCGTGGCCGGTGACAGCGACTATGATCCTTGTGTCTCAGGGGCATAGAGCAGGTAATTCATGCACCCCGCCACTCCTTGTTGAGCATTGTGCGTGTCCTCACTCACAGAGCTAGCTCTCTCTCTCTCTCTCTCTCTCTCTCTCTCTCTCTCTCTCTCTCTCTCTCTCTCTCTCTCTCTCTCTCTCTCTCTACAAAATTTTATTAACTATACACTCTCTTTATTATATTGTGTGGCCTGTAAACTGTGAGTCAATATCTTGTCAAACACAAAACAAAGTTATAGAAAGTTCATAGGTTTGTCACCAGACTAGTCCTGTAGCTGAGAGATATGAGACATGAGGAAAATCTACTGGAATTAAACCTCGCGTCACCGAAAGACATGATCACCACCTTCAAAATTCTCAGCGGAATGGACAGGGGAGACAAAGACAGACTATTTAGCAAGAGTGATACTCAAACATGGAAAACATGCGTGGAAATAGAATACAAATGCGCCACAGAGACATGAAAATGATTTCATTGTTAACAAATGGAATGCACTAAGAAATGGTTTGGAGGCAGATGCCATATACAAGTTCAAATGCAAATATGACAGAGCCCAATAGGCTCCGGAACCTGTACACCAGTTCACTGACGATGGGAGGAGACGGTACCATAGAGCCCAAGCTTAATTCCCTCAAACTCAACTAGGTGAGCGCAGCAGGCCAAGACATACAGTCAGAGCTAGAGCAAGATCAGTAGCAGCAGCAGCAGTACTAGCAGCAGCAGCAGCAGCAGTGGCAACAGTAGCATCCACAGCAGCAGTGGCAGCAGCAGTAGCATCATCATCAGCAGCAGGAGCAGCATCATCATCAGCAGCAGGAGCAGCATCAGCAGCAGCAACAGCCGCGGCAGCAGCAGCAGCAGCAGGAGCATCAAGTGTGGTGACCCAGTGCATGTTGAGCACCATAACTCCAGTGTGGTGGGCCTCCCTGGGTGTACCATAATAATCACACAGTAATATAACTGCTCCACACTCCATCCTCCCCAACTACGACTCCCCCACACCGTCTCCCGAACCCCCACCATACAGTACACGTCACTTACTCGCCTAGCACTGACTGGCGCGTCCCCCCCCCCCAACCTCCCCTTCAGCAACACCGGCGGCCCCCTTCAGCAGCACCGGCGGCCCCCTTCAGCAGCACCGGCGGCCTCCTTCAGCAGCACCGGCGGCCCCCTTCAGCAGCACCGGCGGCCCTCTTCAGCAGCACCGGCGGCCTCCTTCAGCAGCACCGGCGGCCCCCTTCAGCAGCACCGGCGGCCTCCTTCAGCAGCACCGGCGGCCCCCTTCAGCAGCACCGGCGGCCCCCTTCAGCAGCACCGGCGGCCCCCTTCAGCAGCACCGGCGGCCCCCTTCAGCAGCACCGGCGGCCCCCTTCAGCAGCACCGGCGGCCCCCTTCAGCAGCACCGGCGGCCCCCTTCAGCAGCACCGGCGGCCCCCTTCAGCAGCACCGGCGGCCCCCTTCAGCAGCACCGGCGACCTCCTTCAGCAGCACCGGCGGCCTCCTTCAGCAGCACCGGCGGCCCCCTTCAGCAGCACCGGCGGCCCCCTTCAGCAGCACCGGCGGCCCCCTTCAGCAGCACCGGCGACCTCCTTCAGCAGCACCGGCGGCCTCCTTCAGCAGCACCGGCGGCCCCCTTCAGCAGCACCGGCGGCCCCCTTCAGCAGCACCGGCGGCCCCCTTCAGCAGCACCGGCGGCCCCCTTCAGCAGCACCGGCGGCCCCCTTTAGCAGCACCGGCGGCCCCCTTCAGCAGCACCGGCGGCCCCCTTCAGCAGCACCGGCGACCTCCTTCAGCAGCACCGGCGGCCTCCTTCAGCAGCACCGGCGGCCCCCTTCAGCAGCACCGGCGGCCCCCTTCAGCAGCACTATCACTGAACATCGTCGACGTTCTCTAGGACGTCCAAGGATGCCTTAACACACACGTGTTACTCTAAGAAAGACACAGATAGGCTGATGTCCCTGGATGGTACCTGTAACACCAGTTGATGTTGTAGAATGATTAAGTTGGTGTTGACCGGGGACGGTCGAAGGTTACTCGGTAGTGGGCAGGAATTGGAGTACCAAACGTCCACTGCTTTTCCAGGGTTTTATTATGAAAATATATGTCTTCTACACCGGACCAGGATCTAGCTAGGAGTGTGTGACGGAGCGTGAGTTCAAGCTCCGTTGCCCAGGGCTGTCTCTGAAGGTCTGAATGGCTGGAGGGCGCAGGACTACGCTGTGTATTCAGATCTGCTGACAACGTTGTTGACACCTATTAAGTTGTTTAGCGCCGGCCATAATCAGAAGAGGGTATTAGGTCACCCCATGTGTGTGTCCAGGGCACGTCTACTGGCGCCTAACCGACGTCCAACATAACTCCGTACAGATATATCTTTTTCTTATAATTTTTTTCTTGCCCGGACCATGCCTGGTAAATGGTATCTGTGATGTAAACTAGACCAGACCTGGTAACTCGCATCGAGCGTGTTTACAAGACACGGCCTAGTACGCTAAACACATGTAACTTACTGGTTAGTAGTTTGGAATTCTAAACAAACTAAAAAAAAAAAATATCTGTACTCACTGTAGTTGGTGGGTCTGTAAAGTAGAATGAAGAAGCTGTGTTTTTAGTGAGAGCCGCCAGCAGCCACAGCAGAATGTCCGCCGAGAGCCGCCAGCAGCCTCGGCAGAAGGTCCGCTGAGAGCCGCCAGCAGCCTCGGCAGAAGGTCCGCTGAGAGCCGCCAGCAGCCACAGCAGAAGGTCCGCTGAGAGTGTTGTGACCCAAATGAAACTGAATAAATTAGTTAGATTCTCTCTTAAACTATGTGGCAGCGGAAGTGTTTATGACTGAATAGGCTGAGTATGGGACCAGGTTTCGTCAAGAATAGGGGTCAAGTCTCATAGGGTTCTGTACGTGGACTCAACCGGTTTCTGATATATGTAAATGATCTCCCAGAGGGTATAGACTCGTTCCCCTCAATGTTTGCTAACGATATTAACATTATGAGAAGGATTAAGACAGTGGAGCCATGAGGCTACAAGAGGACCTGGACATACTCAATGAATGGTCCAACAAATGGCTATTAAAGTTTATACTCAAACAAGTGTAAAAATGATGATAGGTGTAGGGAGCAGGAGGCCAGACACAGATTCCATTTGGGAGATGAAATCCTTCAAAAATTAGGGAGAGAGAGAGAGAAATCTTGGGGTTGATATCACGATGACCTGTCCCGCGAAGCCTGTCAGAAAACCCAATACCATTTACTAATATTAAATACAATAAGCAGATAATATTGCTGCTGGGTTGTATACACAAGTTAACCCATAGAAAATGTAGCCTGTAGTGGAATTTCCCGTCAATAGAAAACGGGATATCTTTGCCCTGTCGCTACTAAACTCGCCAGCTATTCTGTTGGGAATTATTTTTAATACAGCAGTCTTTGGACTTTTAACGTCATAAAAAATCTCATTTGAATTAACTTACTTATCAGTACCAAAATAGAGTAAATGTGACATGTCTACCACTTGTTGACATCTGGACAAAAGAGCCAGGGTGTCAGCGGTGGTGAGAGTCAGCCATTGTTGAGACCAGAGTCGCTGGAGCGAGTTCAGCTCCTTTAATTCTCCCTTGGACGAAGTGTTATGGAGATCAAATTAGTGCTTCTTCCATCATCAACACGCAGTCAACATCTAAACAAGGGAAGTGTCTTACCAAAACTCGTTTATTACCACATTTCTGGCCAGTTATGTTAGGTAGATATAGGTAGAACCAGTTAGCACAAGAGGCAGCGACTCAACCCAGATAATTATTCCTTGGTCCTTATCTTATAAATAATATAAAATGTTTCCTCTGATAAAGCTGTCATGTATATATAGGATTCCGGCTTTACAGCAAGTGTCCTTTGACAGGAACAATAGAAGAGGAAGCAAGAATTAATCCTGGTACACCAGTACCTGGGTGGTGATGCTAGTCTCAACCACCAGGATTATTTGGTGTCATTATCCTGGTTTATACCTGGTGGACCAGGCCTGTCATACAATAAGATAAGACCTCTAAATTTTCATTACTAATATATGTAGTTTAATACTGTAGTTTGATTGGCTGCATATATATAAATTTAATATAACCCCCCCCCCCTAATGTGCAAGGAGTTGATTTGTGAGAATATTGCAGAAATACAGTCCGCTAAACATCATACAAATTGCTTTCGAAATATATAAATTAATGTAAATATAAACACTATATAAATTCATATAAATTAAATAAAATAAAATGTAAATCTCATAAGTCGGTTCCCCACAAAGCCCACGTCAAGAGGAATCATCAGCGGCATATGCTAGGTTGGTCAACATATGAACTGCCTTTAGAAACTTGTGTATGGAATCATTCAAAACCTTGTATACCATGTATGTTAGTACTAGTCTGGTGTCATACCTCTGAACCTTCTCCAAATAATCTTGTGTTTCACTAGATTCTCCGCTAGCATGCAGTCCGTATCTAGTGAAGCACAAGATTATTTGGAGAAGGTTCAGAGGTATGCCACCAGACTAATACTCGAGCTGACGGGTATGAGCTACGAGGAGAGACTACGGGAACTAAACCTCACATAACTAGAAGACAGAAGAGCTATAGGGAAGACATGATCAACACGTACAAGATTTTCAGAGGAATTGATGGAGTAAATAAAGACATTATATAACTCAGGTGGTACACGAACAAGGCTTAAACTAAGTACTCAGAGCCACAGAGACATTATAAAGTTTTTTTTCAGTGTCAGAGTAGTTAACAGATGGAATGCATTAGGCAGTGATGTGGTGGAGGCTGACTCCATACACAGTTTCAAGTTTAGATATGATAGAGCCCAGTAGGCTCAGGAATCTGTACACCGGTTGATTGATGGTTTACCAAAGACCTAAGAGCCGAACCTCGACACCCTCATGCATAATTAGGTGAATACACCTGACCATCCTCGCTCTCCCCCACCCCTCCCCTGCTCCCCCTCACCCATACCTCCAAGCTTCCCCCTCACCCATACCTCCAAGCCTCCCCCACACCTCCCAGCCTCCCCCACACCTCCCAGCCTCCCCCACACCTCCCAGCCTCCCCCACACCTCCCAGCCTCCCCCACACCTCCCAGCCTCCCCCACACCTCCCAGCCTCTCCCCCTCCCCCATAAGGGGAGGGGCATCACCCGCCTGCTGACCGCCATGTCTTACGCCCGTCGGATCTTGGCTCATTTGCATATAGATTGCCATTATTTGCTCCTCGGAGGTCCAAACGTAAATGACAGGTCCTCGGCGAGGCGCCGCGACTTTATACGTCTGCGAGAGACAATTACCAGGCTAATGGTCCTTAAGGGTGAACACCAGGCCGGTAATGACCCCCCCCCCACCTTCCCCCAGCACCCCCTACCCCCTCAGGCCTCACCGCCGCCCGTCACCTTCCTCGACGTCCCTACTACCATAACTAATCATAGACACTCTCACCATCGTCCCTCACCATCCACCGCCTCTCCCTCTACACCATCCCTCCCCCTACACCATCCCCCCCCTACACCATCCCTCCCCTGTCTTCTTTATTTTATATTATTATATAATTTGCCCTCTTCTCGCTGATGGGCAGCTCCCCCCTCCAGTGACGCAGTAACGATCAATACCAGAGGTATGTTGGTCTGTACAACGTCTGTTTAACACCCGGAGTGATACGTTGCCATGTCCTACAGACGTTGTTACAGCTCGTTAGTGGCACTTATTGCCTCGTTACCTCCTCTGCCGTTAGCTCTCAGCTGGGGTTGCCTTAGTCACAACATAGTGGCGTGTTGTTGGTGTCGGTGGCACTTGTTGTGACTGGTCTGAGTGCCAAGGTCTGTATTGCTACAGTTTGTGAGAGTGCCAGTGTGTATTTACTATTTGTATTTAATATTTGTATCGGCAGAATCGAGCTACTAGCTCTTGGACCCCACCTTTCTAACCAATTTATTTTTCATCTATTATATCTACTACATATATTTATCTTACACATACACGCAAGGGCCTGTGGCTGAGTTGATAGCGCTTAGGACTCGTAAACCTAGGGTCCGGGTTCGATCCCGGCGCCATCGGAAACAGATGGGCAGAGTTTCTTTCACCCTGATGCCTCTTTTACCTAGCAGTAAATAGGTACCTGGGAGTTGGACAGCTGTTACGGGCTGCTTCCTGGGTGTGTGTGTGTTTGAGGAAAAACAAATTTACTTAGTAGATAGTAACAGTTGATTGACTGACAGTTGAGAGGCGGGTCGAAAGAGTAGAGCTCCACCCCCGTAAGCACAACTAGGTGAATACACACACATCCCCAGAAAGCAGCCCGTACCAGCTGTCTAACTCCCAGGTACCTATTAACTGCTAGGTGAACAGGAGCTATAGGGGTGAAAGAAACTCTGTCCATTTGTTTCTGCTTGTGTGTGTGTGTGTGTGTGTGTTGCACCAGTGTGCCAGTGTTGCCACAGCTTGCCTGAGTGCCAGTGTGTGTTGCCACACTCAGGGGGGGGGGCGCGTCTCCCTGCTGGCGGCATCTCAGGAATTGACAACACAGCGTATAAACAACTCGGCCAATAACATACCTCCCAAGTCAGGCCCTCGACCGCCCCCTTGCTCCCTTCTCCCTTCGTCCCCGCTGCTGTGGCGGCTGACAGCGCCAGCTGTCACCCGTCATCTCTGCTGCTGTGGCGGCTGACAGTGCCAGCTGTCACCCGTCATCTCTGCTGCTGTGGCGGCTGACAGTGCCAGCTGTCACTCGTCATCTCTGCTGCTGTGGCGGCTGACAGTGCCAGCTGTCACTCGTCATCTCTGACAGTTGAAGTAGTTCGAAAACAATGATTTTGGGCTTGCACGCGCCCTGGGCATGTTGGATCGACTAGGCACCAATCCTTATCTCTTTAAGTTCATCGCCCTGC